CAATTGAAATCGCATCATATGACCCCTTTAATGCATCCTTGCTGAAAAAAAAAAAACCTAAACAAATGTTTTTGTTTTGTTTATTTAGCAGAAAATCCTGGCCTATTCTCAGTTTTGGGAAACTACCCCTTTAAATGGGTCATTTAATATTCTTCACCTTTCCAAAAATGGTGTGTTTGTAGCTTGTAACACTCCAAAGAGAAAGAAAAAATTTAAATCGCATCATATGACCCCTTTAATGCATCCTTGCTGAAAAAAAAAAACCTAAACAAATTTTTTTGTTTTGTTTATTTAGCAGAAAATCCTGGCCTATTCTCAGTTTTGGGAAACTACCCTTTTAAATGGGTCATTTAATATTCTTCACCTTTCCAAAAATGGTGTGTTTGTTGTTGAGTTCATCAGCCCGTCCAAGAGTAAAGAAGAACTGGCTGCCATTATCATGAGGTCCTGCGTTTGCCATAGCAACCAAACCTCTCCGATTGAAGCGCAATCTGGAGTGAAATTCATCCTGCATTGAAAAAAAACAAACAGTTAAATACAATAACCTTTTCAGTCATGCTTTCCTGCACATTCTTATACATATGCCAATTGCACATCCACTTAATCTCGTGAATAACAAAAGCAAAAGCAACCTTGAAAGGGCGACCATAGATGGACTCCCCTCCCGTTCCAGTGCCTGTGGGATCTCCTCCTTGAACAATGAATTCTGGCACCACACGATGAAAAATTGTGCCATCATAGTAACCTGCGAAACAGAGGTAAATGTTTATGATGAGTAATCAGGGTATTTCATTTAAAAACATGACATCATGACAAGTGCCTTGTCTTGTTTGTATTTTATGTCTGCAAATCTCGAAGTATGACGCCACCTACCCTCCATACAGAGCTGAGTGAAGTTTCTACACGCCTTGGGAGCTTCCTTAGACCAGAGCTCTATATCAATATCACCTGCGGAGGTCTTCAGCAAGACCTACGAGAAAATATCAGTTTGTCATTACACAGATACAATGGTTTTTGTGCTTTAAGAAGGCTTTTCAGTGACACAGGAAATGAAGAAATATACACAGCAAATATAGCTCAAATTACCCAATAAAGCCTACTGCATTATATTTGATAAGCAAATTTCTAAGGCCTCTAAAGTGTTAACATAATCAATACTTTGCTTAAAAAAATACTGGTTCACAAACAATCTACTAAATGCTTTATGCCATCTGATTGATCATTTATAAGAAGGCATTTTAATATAATTATAAAAATGTCCACCTTAAGGTCATGGCTCATGTGTCTTTTTGCTGTGAAATCTTTACTGATTTTTATGGAGTAAACACAAGAATAACTTTATTATTATTGTTGTTACTGATGTTTCAAGATAAACCCTTAATGGACTGAAGCATCTTAGGTTTCCTTGATTATCCATACAATATATATATCTTTTTTTAAATCATGTTAAAATGTGAGTGTTTATTTGCTCAGGCATCATTTATTACATTGCATTAAAAGTTTTGCCCCCTAAAAACTACAGAGCTTTGAATATAAAACTAGGCATTTAAATATCACCACACTCAGACATATTATTGGGAGATATAGAGTGATAATAACTGATTTATATAAATGTATGCAAGTTGTCAGTTTTACTGTTATAAAGATCTCATTGATTAACATTACAAGCTATCAGCATTCCATCTTTTAGACCATATAAATATCAGCAACTGCACCAAACTGCTCAGTTTTGGACTCTAAATAAAACGGATAATTTTTTTTGTGGTCCTGAAGTATCAACTCCATATTCTCATATATATCATACTATATGAGCTATAAACGCTTATATATATAATATTGAATACGATCATCGACAAAACACACATATGCAGCTGTTCCCTTTTTAAAAATATATATAAAAATTATAATTGCATATGTCAGGCTTCACAGTGCTAATAACACACAAATGAAGTTAATGTAATAAAAGCACTACGTTGTTTTAATAAAAACGAACAGTGTTGCATGCTACCTCTTAAAAATACAAAAATAAAAATTAGACGCAGAATGGAGTAGAATATATCATCTGATGAACATTACATTTCATTATTTTCCACGAGTTTGAAACTCACCTTTCCATTAGTGGGTGGCTCTTGAATATATATGTTGCTCATCTTTAACGCGTATTATTTGGGTATATTTCCCTCAAAGCTGGTTGATAACAAAAGTACAAACTACGCAGATATTACAAGAACATAATAAGCACGTGCTGTTCCCTTTTTAAAAATATATATAAAAATTATAATTGCATATGTCAGGCTTCACAGTGCTAATAACACACAAATGAAGTTAATGTAATAAAAGCACTACGTTGTTTTAATAAAAACGAACAGTGTTGCATGCTACCTCTTAAAAATACAAAAATAAAAATTAGACGCAGAATGGAGTAGAATATATCATCTGATAAACATTACATTTCATTATTTTCCACGAGTTTGAAACTCACCTTTCCATTAGTGGGTGGCTCTTGAATATATATGTTGCTCATCTTTAACGCGTATTATTTGGGTATATTTCCCTCAAAGCTGGTTGATAGCAAAAGTACAAACTATACGCAGATATTACAAGAACATAATAAGCACGTCTAACAAATATGAAGTATTTTCTTATGTGATGTTTACAAGCAAAACCATGCCATGCCGCCAGAGAGGATCGTTTCCTCGCTCCTTATCGCCCTCTGCCGTAACGGAGAATGACAGGGTAAATATTAATATATCCTGTCAAAGACTATTATCAGAAGACGTAGAATTCAAATGAAGGATAATAAACGTTGTCCTATCTTCAATTTGCAATTTTAAATATATAAAATCCGAATATATACGTGTAATTCAGGCTTCTGAAGTAGTTGTTGGTTGTGTTGTCAGGTGGAACATGTTACTTTTCTCCGCGCTGGTGAAGATGATCCAATCACAACCGCTTGTGATTACAGAGTTTTCTTTAATGAGTTTATAAAAATTCAGGGGCAGGTTTTCATTTAGCGTCCTTAAAAGTCTGTCCTCATTACACCATTGTGCTCTTTGGTTGTTATCTCTCTGCTGGGGGAAATCGATGAACGGGTCTGTATGTGGAACCACAGTGTCGTCGACGTTTCCAGTCGGAGTCTTTTACCAAACAGATCGGTTTCACGTTTTGAAAAGCGGCGGAGCAAAAACAAACGAGTTGTTTTGTTTTGCTCTTTTATAATTTAGATTGATAAACCGTCGATTATATCATGGCTGTCCCAGGTATGCGTTTGCAGAGATGAATGGGTTGTCCATTAGTTTTGTTGAATGTTGTTGATGTGCTACTTCTGGAATGTTCTAGAAACTATCCTTCACTTCATTAGTATGTTCACTCGTCAACAACAGAGCTGTCGCTTCACATCAGACACATATCCTCGTATTTCAGACTTCATATTTCACACTTAGTTGTAGGTAACTGTTAACCGATTTGTAAGATATTGGATGGATGGATGGATAGATGGATGATAGATAGATGGATGGATGGATGGATGGATGGATGGATAGATAGATAGATAGATAGATGGATGGATAGATAGATAGATAGATGGATGGATGGATGGATAGATAGATGGATAGATGCTCGATGTTTGAATGGTGAGATAAATTCTGAAATCCTTTTAGATTTGGATTAAATATCCAATATCTTGCAGCTAGTGGTTGGTATTGTAATATGTGATCATGAATTCGCATCCTGAAGCGATACTGAATGTGTTTTTTTTCTAACAGGTCCAAACAAAGACAACATCAGAGCAGGCTGCAGAAGATGTGGCTATCGTGAGTGTGACGATCTGTCTGTTTTTCTGTCTGTTCGTCAGTTGCTGTTGTTGTTTTTTTATTTATTTATTTTATTTATCTGTTATCTGTCTATTTATCTGGTTTTTTTTCTTCTGTCGGTCCATATCTGTTTCTGTTTTTTCTATCTATCTATCTATCTATCTATCTAATTTGTTTCTGTCTGATTTCCTGTCTCAATGTATATCTGTCTATTTGTTCTGTCTATATATCTGTCTTGTTTATCTGTCTGTCAGTATCTGTTTCTTTTTGTCTGACTCTCTATCTGTCTTGTCTTTTTCTGTCTGTCTATCATCTGTTTACCTGTCTATCAGTCCGTCTGTAATATGTCTGTTTGTCTATCTGTCTGTTATTTTCTATCTATATATCTCTTTCTGTTTGACTGTGTGTATCTGTCTATCTATCCATCTATCCATCCATCTATCCATCCATCTATCCATCTATCCATCCATCTATCCATCTATCTATCCATCCATCTATCTATCCATCTATCTATCATCCATCTATCCATCTATCTATCATCCATCTATCCATCCATCTATCCATCCATCTATCTATCTATCTATCTATCTATCCATCTATCCATCTATCCATCCATCTATCTATCATCCATCCATCCATCCATCCGTCTGACTGTCTTTTTTCTATATGTATCTATCATTGCTTTTCATCCATGCGATATTGATTCTTTCTCTCTTTTTCATCATCCATTGTTTTCTTCAGCTGGTCATTTGACATTTGAATGTCGTAATTTTGTCCGTGTGGATCCGAGGAAGGACATTGTTTTGGATGTGAGCAGCACCAGCAGCGAGGAGAGTGAAGAAGAGGAGCAGGAAGCTGTCAGCAAAGAGAAGATCTTCGGCAGCCACTCAAAAGGTTCTTTCATCATTACAGACTTGAAATGCTTTGTTTCTACTTCTGTCTGAGGTCTTCCTGCTTGTTTGTGCATGCATATATTTTAAATGTTTTAACTGAGTGAGAATATTGTTGATAATGATCATTTGTCACTGAAACACAGGTCCTCGTGAAGATTCCAGAAAAGAAAAACATAAAAAGAAAAGCAAAGACAAATCCCATGGAAAGGCCAAAAAGAGGTACACGTGATTAATCATAGCACTTTTTCACTTGTTTAACATAAGTATTAAAAACAATTTGTAAATGCTTTAAAAATGTGCTTAAATTTTGAATTCAAAATGATATATCAACATATTTATTATGATTAACTATATACAGTTTTGTTTTTTTTTTACTTTTATTTTCTTGAATTGATAATTATGGGCTCGTTATCTGTGCACTTGTTATTCCATGTAGAAAAGTCCAATAATGATATTATAGAATGGATATAAGAATGAATAAATAAATATGTTTATTTTGTAGTGGCTCTCCTAGTCCTTCATAAATATGCACCTACATATATATATATATATATATTAGCAACTTTTTTTGTTTTCAATAAATTTTTTTAAAATAGTGATATGAGATTTTTGTATATTTTAGGTGTCATTACTGCCCTGTTTGATCTGATATTCATATGATTTCATACCCTCAGGTCTTATTCATCAAGTGATGATGAGGAAGAAGTGAGCAAGAAGAAGAAAAAGCACAAGAGCCACAAAAAGAAAGGGAAAAAGGAGAAAAGAGAGAAAGAAAAGAAACACAAGAAAAAACATCAAAAGAAAGACACAGACTCTTCCTCATCTGACAGCTCTACTGGATCATCAGACACGGACTGAAGCTTTGACAGGACCACAGAATCACAGCAAAAACAGTAAAATACCTTCTGCCAGAGCCATTTGTACATAACACCTTTATACTTTAGAAATCAATTTTGTCTTTTATATTTACCTCTGAGAGTTGGAGTGGTTTTTTTTTTGTGATGTATTGAATTTTTTATTTTGTGATTGTATATCAATGAAATTAAAACCCACAACCCTTCATGTGAATAATTTTACAAAGCTTGTGTTTTTATAATGCTTCATTAGAACTACTGAAAAAATTACACATTTATTTTACAATAAAGTGTCATGGGCAATTGTTGTTACCTTTTAACTCTTAATCAATAAATAGACGAGTGGTGATCTGGCAGCTTTACTTGCAATTTAGCAAGCATTATACAAAAACATCAGACTGCAGAATGACACAAAAGCCTAAAAATAATTAAATGCTGTCATATTTTCCTCTGGTTATCTCACAGTATGTAGTTAAGTCTTTCTGCTCATATCTCTCTCTCATTTGGCTTGCTCCCTTTTTTTTTATCAGGGGTCACCACAGCAGAGTGGTCCGCACAGCCGATTTGGCACATGTTTTACGCCGGATGCCCTTTCTGCTCATATCTGAAAGTGATATATATATATATATGTAACCCAAACAGCAGATGAGTAGAGATGTTAAAGTAGGTCTAAAGTGCTCACATTCATGTGTTCCTTTAAGTTTAAATGCTTTATTGTCCTTCTGACTCTGAGGGTGGTGCGGATGTGATTGCCCAAGATCTGAGTCTAGCCACAGACTTTGTCAGGGAGAGGAAAGAAATGACCCACGTACACAGATGACAAAGCTCTTTTCCATACTTACTCATTCACTTCTGGAATAAGTTTGCTGATTTTCTAGTGGATTAGGGAAAATCTATTCATAAAGAAAATGACTTGAACAAACCTCTAATAAAAGTAAATGTCCTGAGATAGTGCTGAAGAAAAAAGTCAGATATATTACATCACATAATTTCATGTTACACGCACACACATCTGTTAATTTTTTTCTTTATTAATTGTTAATTGTTTAATTTTAAATGATTTTATTGTCTTTAATGTTCTCAGTACAGTGAGGTATAAATAGGCATCTAATAGCAGTGTGTCCTGTATGGTTATATGTACTCTGAATCGTTAAAGTCATAAAAACGGCAGGTCGTTTCTATACTCATGGCAACAGTGTTTTACGTAGCTAGCAATAAATCGATTCTGAGTCTCAAACTCCTGAACAAACTAAATCCATGTCAGATGTCACGTATTTTTAATTAATTAAAGAAATAGCAGTATCCATGTTTTCTGCCCAGTCTTATTGGGGGAGTAGCTTTAGTCATGTTTAGAATACTATTCTACAATAGCACTTTTTTTTTTTTTTTTGAAGCTTCAAAATAATTTTTTTTTTTTTTTTAACCCTCTACTGCATGGTGTAGCCATATGGCAACATACTCTTTGTGTTCATTTCCTTGCCACTGTCTCTTTAAGAGAACATTCTCGTTTTTTTTGTTGGAAAGAGAAGACCTTAGTTTAGCCAATGATGTGCTTTGATTAAGTCACATGACATGCAGTTTTTTTTTCTGTGGCGAGATTTCTGACAGACTGCTGTCTCTTGTCGGTAGTTGCTGAAAGCAAACTAAAACGTCAGTAACAAACAAGGACCAGTCCGTGTCACTTCTACAAAAAAATCTAAAACATCACTGTTATGATGTTATGATGACATATTCACCTCTCAAAAAAGTTTTTATAAAATTAGTTTTTGGTAAATCATTCAAATGTATGTGTTGCCAAGTGGCAACACTGTGCAATAGTGGAATGACATTATTACAATAGTTTAGCTAGCTAGCAAGGTCAGCTCCATCAGTTCACAAGTGAAGACGAGCATCTAATCATCAGGAAGAGCTGAAATCTGCAAAGACTGAGTTTATTAAAGAGGACAGAGAGAAGATGAGAGATCCAGAACCCTGCAGAATCAAACACACTGAAGATACTGAAGAACTAACAGGTTGGTGTTTATTCTTGATTTCTCATTCATTCATGATGCTGAAGAACATTAAATGTTATAAAGACTCAAGCACTTCATCACATTTAGATAATCAGATGATAAACTATTAATTGGGTACAAAATGTTCTTTATTTCCGCTTCTGTGAGAAATCACTCTCGAAGTCTTGAGCTTTTGATGCCAGAGAGTAAACTTTATTATCAGAGACTCTGCAGAGAATCTACAGTCTGTGTCTGCACACTGTTTATATAGTTTTTACTTAACCCTCTACTGCATGGTGTAGCCATATGGCAACATACTCTGTGTTAATCATTTCAGCAAAAAAAGAATAGAATAAATAAAAGCACAAGTTGTTGGAAAGTATGTATAAGGTGTCAATTATAAGTAAGTACTGTGTTAAAGCTTATAATAGCACCAATTGAATCAACACAAACAACATTTCTGAGGAAAAATATTAATTATAAGTAAGCTTACACTTATTCTAAGTTAGATCCACTATTGTATGCTGTTGCCATATGGCAACATATCATAAAGTACCTTAAAATAATCTTTTTTTCCCTTTTTTTTTTTACAGCACTTCAAGTTAAGCTATTCTTAGAAAAGAAAAATATTCAAATATTTTTTTCTATAGGTCTATCATAATGCGTGCGGTATATATCTATACTAATGTTGTATTTTTTGTTTCTTGTCAAATAGTTTGACAGATATGAGAGGTGTGGCAGCAAATAACATCAAGGTGTGAAAGCAAATAGCAAACTAGCAGTAAATTCTTGGAAAAGGCCATTTGTGGCTATTTATAATCATTAGCTACAGCTTGCCTTACTGGACTTTGAACCTATAAGAAGAGCAATAAATATTTTGACAATAAAAAGTAAGTATTGACCTTTTTCTATGCATTTCCAAGGGTGGGTCGGAGCATGTGACGTTTCAAACCCTATATAATCTTGACATATCGTGTGCACGTTTCAGTGCATAGTGGAATATACTTACTCAACTGAGAAAAATCAGGTAAAGCTACAATTAAATATTCCATACTTTTTTGGTAAGCTTTCTCTATTAGTAAATATTACATTTAAATAATAATAATAATGTAAGAGACACAATATTTCACCAATTCTTCAGATTGGTCAGCTGGCAGTTAACATAATAATATGTATTCAACAATCTTTCTTGGTTGTAATTAAATGTTGAATGTCATGTTAAATGATTGGATTGTCTTAGAACTCTTCATTAGAACTATAATGGTAAAAGAGTAATACATCTTTCAAATCTGTAAAGACTACATTTATTTGTGTGTACTCACAATAACAACTAAACATTGCGCTTTTGTAAAATAATGAAAGCAAACAGGATGCGCTTTCTGCCGTCTCGGTCTCTGTGAACTTGAGAGCGAAACTCCGTGTACAGGCTATCTTTGCCTTACAGACATGACAAATATATCTATAGAGAGTGAAATCTCTACTTTTAAATGAACCAATTTTAATAGAAAACAAATTTTCTCAGATTATGTAATATGCATGAAACATGTATACAGGCGCATCACTACTGTGGAGATGACGAGTCATTGGCTACGTTTACATGCACAACTTTTGGTTCAATCGGACTGAATTCATTCCGATTGATGAATATGACTGTAGTGTTTACATGAACGCTAAATAAAGTGATCGGGTTGAATGTTTTTTTTTACATGTGCATACTGCACAAATATAGAGTTTCTCACGGTTTGCACATAATAACCACTCTCCTACAGGGTTTCTTTATTTGTTTTTAACAGCAGAATTCATATTTATCCATTTATGGATAAACATACATATAACAGCTGTGCTGTGCTGCTCATATTTATCACGCAGTAAAAATGCCCCTCCCCTAAAACGGGTTGCCTGTGGATGAGAATCCAAAACAAGGACTGGTGGGAGGTTGTCCTGCTCCACTTCACAGTTGCCGAGTGAAAGGAGAGTTTTATAATGACAGGACATGCATTTATACAACACTTTATTCAAAAGGAAGAGGCGTTCGTTCCGCGCATCATATGTCATTAGGCTATTTCTGCGTCATTGCACATGGGCAGTCCTTTCAGTTTCGGAGTTCAATCCGATCGAGTGTTTACATGCACTCTCAAAAGGAATAAACCACCCCCTTCAATCCGATCGAAACATTCCGATCGAGCTCAATTGGATCGATTAAGGTGTTTACATGAAGGCTTTTCAGTCCGATTGAGCCGTCAATCCGATTACAAACGGATTATTTGGTTGCATGTAAACGTAGTGTCGCCGAATTCATCTCTTAAACCGAAAACAAAGAAAGCGCTAGTTTAACAATAAATTATTAAAATGTTAATGCAGTCTCTTTGCTGTTTTTTCCAGACACATGCATAAGTATTATTTCTGCTGGTACACTGTGGCAAGGTTTTTTTTTTTTGGTTTTTTTTTGCCTGCGCTTGAGCGCTTTATGCAATTAAAGGCTCATTATTATAATATGGTTTATTAATAAACGTGCGACTAATAGTCGACTAATGCTTAACCCATTTGTGCCCAAATTTTTCTGAATGGTTTCATGCATATAGTCATGTTAATAGTGTCCTATGTGAACATGTTCTGCATTTATTTTCCCCAGGTTTTTTTTTTTTTCCTTGAAAATCATATTTGAATGTGCGGCAACTATAGTTGCCGAGTCATTCTACGAAACGGGTGCCATTTGGGTCCGCAACATTCGATGAGATGCACAAGGCACAAAAGTCCCAAAGTGTGAAGTTATTAAAGGGGTCATATGATGCGATTTCAAGTTTTCCTTTCTCTTTGGAGTGTTACAAGCTGATTGTGCATAGATAAGATCCCTGAAGTTGCAAAGACTAAAGTCTCAAAACCAAAGAGATATTCTTTATCAAAGTTAAGACTCTGCCACGCCCCCCTAAAACGGCTCATTCTAACACGCCCCCACATATCTACATCACTATGCGGAAATATTTGCATAATGCCGCCCAAATGAGCACGCAAAGAAAGAAGGCGTGGTTTCAGGAACAGCAGT